GAGGAACCAGGCCCTGAAAACTTCTTGATTTTATCCCAGAGACCTGTGTCAGCTTTCTGTCTTTTTTTTTTTGTCACTTCAAGCTATTAAGTTTACAGCACTTTTTAAAGATAGCAACAGAAAATGAATATAATCTCCAACTATGCGACATTGTGAGGACTGCTAAGAAGCTTTGTGACCCTGGCTTTCCACACATTGTCTGACACATAGGAAACAGTCAGAAAGCACTTAAAGAATGAATGAACTGGGTGCTCTCTCAGTTCATTCTGCATATTGGAGGGTGATCCTATAATCTGTCAGCATTATCTCCCATATTTTGTCCCCCCTGAAGACAATTCTTTTCTTTGTTCAAACAGACATTCTGCCTCCCTGCCAACCCTTCATGTTTCTTTAGTTGATCCATCTATGGTTTAAGTGCTATGAATTCTGGTTAGCTGACATATCTGAAAATGAACATTTGTTCATTAGTACTGTGAAAGAAAATAAATGTAAAATATATAGTTTGAAAACTTTAAAGAAAGTATAAAAACATTTGTTCCTTCAGAATTTAGCACATAGAGATGAGAGATTAGTAAACAGAGAGATGAGAAGAGATGAGGATACTACAAAACATGTTATCATTTTAACAATGATTTTTTCTTCTGTCTTTGCATCCATCCATCCAGTATTTGTTTATACCTACACACTATATTAGGCATTGTGGAAGTTCTTAAATCAGCTAACTACAGATTAGTTAACTGAATCAATTTATTGGTTAGTGATTACTTGTCAATCTCGTTTTTAATGATTACATTACTGATTTAACCTATGAACAATTAAACATATAGATGCAAACTGAATCAATTTATTGGTTAGTGATTACTTGTCAATCTCGTTTTTAATGATTACATTACTGATTTAACCTATGAACAATTAAACATATAGATGCCCAGGTACAGCCTCTATATTCTAACATTATAGATCACTAGATGATGAACAATGTATTAAGGGAGGGAAAAATACAGTAAATTAAGGAAGAAGAAAAATGATAGATAATAAAAACCAACCTTTATTGAGTACTATGTGTCAAGCATTATGTTAAGGTCTTAATATGTATTGTCTCATTTCATCCTCAAAACCCAATGAAATTTTCCCTTCATTGGAAAGATAAGGGAAATAAATCCCAGAGAGATAAGTTTCTTGTCTCTGATCATGCAATTATTAATTTGGAGATGGAATTTGAACCTATGCAAGCTAATTCTAGGGTCATGCTCTAATCTTCCCCTGTCTTGGTAAGAAGATAGGAGTGAAGGAGTGGAGAGGAAGATGAGATGATGGGAAGCTAAAGTTATCATGCATCTCATTTAACTTATGCTTTTTGCCAACTGTGTTTATTTTTCCATATTAAATACTTCTTTATAAGGAATTCAGAATGGAACCTTGAATACATAATTGGGCACTAATATTCTAAGTCACATAAAGAGGGAACAGACTGTTTCCTTTTACCAGGAGCATCCAAATCTCAGTCTACTTTTCAACTAAGGTTTTGCCGACACTGGATAAAAATTAAGAATAAAATTTATATTGGAATATTTGCCTGGCTAGGTAAACAGTGCTCAAAATAATTTTATCATTGAGAAAAATCAGAAATGTGCATAATCTGTGCAACATTTAGCTTCTAGAAGCTGGAGACACAACCCCAGAGGATGGAAAACAAGAGTTGTGCTTCTAAATACATTAGACATGAATGTGTATTTAATGGTGGTCTATATTTCCTTATAAATCTTCAGAAATAGGAGAATGGGGTTGTCAATATCCTTGGCCCTACCAACAGGACATTCAAAACTAAGACAGAGGATATCTGGGGTTTTCCAGGTTATTATTATACTTTTTAATACTCATGGATAATACTCAAAAATCAAAATAGCCATACTTGGAATCATATATTTTCTCATGCTTCTGTATTATACAATGACTTGAAACTCATTCATGAGAAATTTGCCAAAAGTTGAACATGAAATGATTAAACAAAAACCAGACAAGATTGTACAAAGAAAATCTGACATGATTCACACTAAAATCAGCAGGTCAAACTGTTATTTGAAAATCAGTTTTTATTTTGATTAAAAAGAAGAGAGAGACAGTCAGGAATTCTAGAGTATAAATGTATTCCCAATAACTTAATAGCTGATCATCCTGAAGTCTTGGTTGCCAAAGAGAACTTTTTCTTTTTTTAGCATAGCTTGAACTGGTATCCAAGAATAAACCTGAATACTGCAGTGACTTTTCAAAGCAGAAGCATTTGTAACAGACATCCAACCACTGTAAACTATAATCTTTTAAAGGTACAGTCTCCTAGCAAATAAGAAAAAAACTAAGATCACAGTTCTTTCTTCCAAATGATAAGCTCTATGTGACCAGACCTATTTCTTTAATATTCTTTGAATGTAATCTTCTTTGCACACACTCTGGCCCAGACTTAGGTTTTGTTGTTTTGTTTTGATTTTTGCTTTTTTGATCATTTCTTTCCTGCTCAAGTCCTTGGCCATGTGAAAATCATGTTTTGAAAACTGTATTTTAGTCAGTCATTCCCAAAATGAATCTCCACATACCAATCTTTTTCTAAAAATTTATCCTTCATGGTCCATTAATGAGTTATGAAAATGAAATGACTGTTTTTGCTGTGTTGTCATCTGCCCCCACCCCAAATCCAAGAAAAATGAACAAAAAGTACTTACAGTGGTTCCTTGCCAGGAGCATTTTATCCCTTATTCACTAGTGGTAAGTGAGTCAGATATGAGTTGGCCAGGAAAAGAGCTGCTTTACCCAAAATCTTAGTACAAAATGAATCATTTTGCTCCAAACACCAACATATCCTCCAAAGTTACCGGCAAGAATCTCCTATGAAAAGCATCTCGCCTTCACCCTTTCCACCCAGTTAGTTCTGATTTTCTGATTTTTCTATTTCCTGTGTACTTAGGCATTGCATTCACAACAAAGGCCCCAGAACACTTCTGTCTCTCCTTATCTCAGTCTCAAGGTCATCTGTCCTGTGCTGAGTAGGGGAACAACTCTAATGGCATTCCCCCGGAAAGAATAAATGCTCTGTGGCTTCCCAGGCTTCACTCTCTCTGACTCTCTCAAGTGTAGAAACCAATTCTAAAAGAATTTTTCTTTTCCTCTGCTAAAGAAGTGAGTTCAAAGCCATAGAAAATTTTTCAAGCAAAACCATTTTTCTTCCCACAAGAAATACCAATCAAAATAGATACAGTCTGTCCAAATCTGATCACCACAAATCCCAGCCACAAGCTTCAGCTGTTTCCCTGTACATCAGAGTATGCATATTCCCCTGCCCATTCTTTCTTTGCTATCACATGAAGCTTAAAAATTACTGTGAACTGAAGCCAGGCTTAAGTCTCTATAGATTATCAGGAATGAAGTACACTGTTTACCTGAGGAAAAACAAGCATGCTTACAGAGCCAATTCTTGCCAAAGTGCAGAGACTTTTATATTACTTGAGGCCCATAACATGACTTATTATTCCTATTTTAAGCTCTGTAATTTAATGGACAAAATTACATAATTCATTTCGCTCAGATTGGAATTTAGCTTTGTCTCTTTATATTAAATGAATTCTAAAGAATTGCTTTCTTTCTTTTATATCCAACACTAACAGATGTTAGTTTCCTCAGTTTTATAGCCCACAGATGACAGACAACTAACTGTCCTTGGCCTTGGGAATAACTGCAACACCTTTGAATTATGAACTTGGTTCGGTTCTTAGCTGGGAACAGCAGGGGGTTAGTTCATATTATCAAAGATGTAAAATGAGTTTTCCCTTATCCTCTGAATGCCCATATGAAGATGTCTTCTACTACAGTACTGCACAGCTTTTTTTCTTACTGGTAATCTGCTCTTTAAGTGGTTATGGTAAAAAAAAGTATTTCCATAAAAATGAAATCTCCTATTCAATGTATCTCCTGCTCATGACCAAAGCAAGATGTTAAATCCATTAAACTCTGAATATCCAGTAAAAGCAAAAAAGCGAAAACTGTTCAAGTTGTGCATTCTTGGGAAAATTGCCAATTTATGTACTAGTAGCAGGAGCTGTGTAATTAATGGTGATGTTATTGATGGAGGGAGTCTGATTTCCTTCACGGAAGCCATTTAAAAGCCCAAGCTGGCAGAGCTTAAGCAAAGCCTTACCTTATTCATTTTAAAATTTAGGAAATGTGACTTTGAAGTCAACCACAGAAAGCGCCAATGTTAATGTATGTACATTTAAGTGGATTTGGTCACAGGAGACGGAAAAGAACTCCTGAATGTAGCATCATCAATAGGGTAGGGTGATGGCCACCAAAACACGTAAGCCCAGCCTTTTAAGAACTGCTTCTTAAAAGAGGAAGGTGCAAACCCAATCTTAGGTTAACCTTAATTTTTCTCCCCTGAAAGCTATATTCACATGAACACTAATAGAAATCCTTTTCATAAAATAAAATCAGACTCAAGTCCACATATTCCTTTCCCCACACTTCTGTCCCCTTTGGAGGCAACTTCCATTTTGACCCAGTCATTTGCCTCAAGGAGCTTGAATGTATTTAGGTTATCTAACAGCCTAACCATAGCTCCATCTACTGCTCTCCTTTGTCCCCTTTGTCATATTGGTAATTTCAAAATGATGATAGAAAGAAAAAGGACATCTGGAAAAATAGAGATAACTAAGGAAAGAAGTTAAGCCTATAAGCAGCTCTTTCCATAATGATCTGCACTAAATTATCCAATAAGGAGAGTGTTTTTCACCATGTATCTCATCCCCTCTATTTCTCTGTGAACTGCAGCCACACACTGTAGTTCTGTGTTTCCCATGCAGAATGAAACAAATGAATTCTTGACAGTCTTCAACCTGTGCAATGGCATCTGTGGCTTTGGAGAAGACAGGTGGTGGAAGCGGAGGAGAAAGGAGAGGGAAAGCCTGGAGAGAGGCTCACAAATGCTAATGATGTGCCTGGATGTTACTGACCTTAATGATTCCCCCACGTTCGATCCATACCTGCTGTCTTCTCGAGCAAAGGGCTGTTCCACATCCACTGTGAGGGAGGCCAGGGCAGAAACAGTCTCTGTCTCCTCTTGCAGCTGAGCCCCAGACAGAGCACAGCCCCTTGGCACACTCACCATCCTTACCGACTTCCAGTACTTGCCTAGAAAAATATGCATCATGCTTTAAAATGCAAATTTTAACAAGGGAGTATTAATCAAAATACTTGTATAGGTCCAACTCAGAGTAGTTAAAATTCACCATATTATATACAGTTGTAATTTGGTTATTTAACTCTAATGATTAAGTCTGTTTCTCAATCTAAGAATACCCAGTTGTGAAGTGCTCATATTCCCAAGCCTGATTCTCCCTTGCTCAAAAGGTAATGAAGTGAGGAATAATCATGGTCTAATGAACTCACTGTCAGACAGACAGCTGTCGCTTCAACTAAGTAAGCAAACTCTGAGCATTGTGCCCTCTGGGAAACACTCAAGAGATTGGGAGGTAGAAGTCTCATGGAGAAACTGAATGAAATAGTAACATTAAAAACTTCTA